AAGCGATCCTCCTGCCTCCACCTCCCTAGTAGCTGGGATTATAGGCACCTGCCACTACGCCCGGCTAATTTTTTTGTATCTTTAGTAGAGACGGGGTTTCTCCATGTTGGTCAGGCTGGTCTCAAACTCGTGACCTCAGGTGATCCGCCCGCCTCGGCCTCCCAAAGTGCTGGGATTACATGTGTGAGCCACCGTGCCCGGCTTACCATTTCTTAAAATGTTTATTTTAATGTCTTGCAAATTTAGTGAGCCACATATGAAAATTGGTCTCTTTATTTTATAACTGTATTTGTGGCTGAGTTCATTAAATGTTTTAAGTAATGATGGTTTCACCGAAATAAGGAAATAACCTAATAAATACAGTTGACCCTTGAACAACATGGGTTCGAATTATGTGGGTCCATTGATATGCTGTTTTTAGGAAATAATGTTGGAAAAATTTTTGAAGATTTGCAGCAATTGGAAAAAACAGACAAACCACGTAGCCTAGAAATATCAAAAAAATTAAGAAAAAGATATGTCATGAATGTATAAAAAATACATATGTAGATACTGGTCTGTTTATGTGTTAACTGACTATTCATGTTATTGGTAAGACTTCTCAGTCAACAGTAGACTATTGGTAGTTAAGTTTTGGGGGAGGCAAAAATTATACATGGATTTTTCAGGTGCTTGTGGGTGCACACCCCTAATCCCTGCATTGTTCAAAGGTCTGCTGTAACTACTTTGAAGGGAAAAACAATAATGAATATGTACATTTATATACGTTCTGATATATGTTTTATGATGCAGAGCTAGAAGGTATCAGGATTGTACATTCAGAGAGAAAAACAAAGTAGTGTGACATTTTAAAATGAATGTTATATAATTTCTTGTAAAATAGGATTTGGTATAAATGTAGTTTTGATCTAGGACAAATTGATTTAGTAATGGAATTGTTTTTAAAAGACTGCCTTGTGGGTCTTAATAAGGTCTTCAGTATAGAATGTTAGGACATTATGATGATGTTTATTGGGTTTGGCAGTACCATTTTATTTATTGATATATAACCTTAGTTGTGAGAGAGAAAACTCAGAATCTTGTTGATTGTATTTACACAAAGTTGAAAATACCTTCCACTCCACTCTATCTAACTTGCTTTTAAATGCAATAATACTTGTTATCATGTTCACTCTTAACCTGCTAAAGGCCATTTCAATTACTTTAACACGGAGTTATGGCTTACTCTGTTATTCAAAATATAAAGAATAGCTTGACTGGAATTACTTTGAAGATTGTGGCAATGCATTGCTGAATTTTACCAATCCACTTTTGTCATATAGTGAAGTAGATGTATATGTACCTAAAGTTTTCTAGTAAAAGTTTTCATCTTAGCTATAAAAAATATTTTTGTCACACAGGGGCTATTTTTGGAGCATTACAAGATATACTTGGGAGCCGTTCTGTTTCAAAGGAATATTATAATCAGACGGGCCGTATACCTGATTGGTGTTCTCTCAATAACCCACCTTTGGAAATGATGTTTGATGTTGGGAAAACTCAACCACCTCTGATGAAGAGAGCGTTTTCCACTGAGAAATAGAAGTTTGATTGAAAAATCAACCTTGCTTCATATTACATATTTAACCAATTATAAGCAAATTGTACAAAGTATGTAGGATGTTTTGTTACAGAGGAGTATAGTGGAAGTGAAAGCATTCTGTGTTTACTCTTTGCATTAATATATAATTCTTTTGACTTTGTTTCTCTTGTGTACTGGTAACATGGTAGCTGGTGCTTACTGAAATCTGTTGTGTTAATATCAATAAAGTATAGTAAAGCAGTTTGATTTTGGAAGTTTGTTATGTGGCTTTTTTTTTTTTTTTTTTGAGACAGAGTCTCCCTCTGTTGCCCAGGCTAGAGTGCAGTGGCGCTCTGCTCACTGCAAGCTCCGCCTCCCAGGTTCATGCCATTCTCCTGCCTCAGCCTTCTGAGTATCTGGATTACAGGCACCGGATTACAGGCGCCCGCCACCATGCCCAGCTAATTTTTTGTGTATTTAGTAGAGACGGGGTTTCACCGTGTTAGCCAGGATGGTCTCGATATCCTGACCTCGTGATCCACCCGCCTCCGCCTCCCAAAGTGCTGGGATTACAGGTGTGAGCCAGCGTACCCAGCCTATGTGGCTTGTTTTTCAAAAAGAAGAGTATTTCTCCACAGTTCACATAATCTGTTCTGGGCTCATTAATTTTATTTCCAGCAGTTACTCCATTTAAAGCATAAATAGTGTTAACAATTACCAGTTATTTCAAATACTAACATGGGTCCATTTAAAAAAATTATTTATTTTGGTGCTTGGGTGTCCATATTATAATAATGTTGTTTTTCCAGAAATATATTTGATCTTTGGACTGAGAATGTTTGGTAACATGGTCAAGCATTTGTTAAGCAAAGTGTGGAAATGTTCACTTTTTAACTTCACCATTTTTTTATGAGCAATTCTACATTTCTAAGAAAAAAGATACTTCATTTTTATATAAGGTTACAACTGCTTTGTAAAAATGTATTCACAATGCCATTAATCTTTGTGTTTGTGCTTTATATCTTCTCAGGGCGGAGGTTCTTTGAAATATGTACTCAGTCATTTAACTTTTTATTTTATTTTTTCATTTGTTTTTAATGAACTACCTCTTGTTGAAATTTTGCTGGCTTCATTCTTTTGGGATACCTGTCTCCTCTAGTCCTACCACTGTTCCATAGCACTCTTTCCCTAAGCACAGTACCCATAATTGGGGCACTTCTAACTTTTACCTTGTCATCGTTTCAACAGAGGTTTTATCTTCTTTTCTGGAATATAAGCTCCATTAGAACGAGGCTTGTCTATTTCTTAACTTTGAACCCTCCCAGGAGGATTGCCAGGAATAGATATACTATTAATTGCCAATTGGATGGATTTACTATTTTATTAACATTATCTCTTTTTTCAGTAAACATGAACTTTACATTTATATTGACTTCATCTTTTGTTGAATTTAGATTATTTATGAGAAGTTTTCATCATTGAATAATATCAAAAACAGGATCTGTGACTGAAATAGAGCTTTAAAACTGGCTATAAAGTAGCAGACAACTGGTGACTGAAGTTAAGGAATGTAGCCTTCTATTATGGTTTGAATTATGCCCCTCAAAAAGATAGGTTGAAGTCCCAACCCCTGTACCTTGTGAACGTGACCTTATTTGGAAAGAGTTGCAGATGTAGTCAAATTAAGACGTGATCATTAGGGTGATGCCCTGATCCAGTAAGACTGGTGTCTTTGTAAGAAGAGGAAGCCAGTTGTGGTGGCCCATCCCTGTAATCCCAGCATTTTGGGAGGCTGAGGCGGGTGGATCACTTGAGGTCAGGAGTTCGAGACCAGCCTGGCCAACATGGTGAAACCCCATGTCTACCACAAATACAAAAATTAGCCAGGTATGGTCATGCATGCCTGTAGTCCTAGCTACTTGGGAGGCTGAGGCAGGAGAATTGCTTGAACCCGGGAGGTGGAGGCTGCAGTGAGCCAAGATCACACCGCTGCACCCCAGCCTGGGTGACAGAGTGAGACCTTGTCTCAAAAAACAAACAAACAAACCTAAGGAAAGGCATGCCTAACATATTCCAGGATTGATAAGGAGGCCAATTTGGCTCGTGTAGAGTGAGCAAGAAGAGAAGCAATAGTAGATGGGGGAGTGGGGGTATATCTTACAAGGATACATCTTACTGAGTCAAACAGCATATCCTTGGAGTGTTTTGAGTGGAAAATTGACAAGATCTGGCTTGTTTAAACCGGATTATTCTGGATGTTGTGTTAAGAATAGAGTTTAAAGAGACAAATTGAAGCAGGAAAATCAGTTAAGACACCATTGCAGTAATCTCAGTGAGATGATGTTTTTTAAGCCAGGGTGCTAGCTGTAAAGATGAGAACTGCTGGATTCTGGATACATGGAAGGTAGACCAACAGGATTTCCTGATAGATCTTACGTGGATGTTTCAGTTACCTATTGCTATGTAACAAACTTCTAAAAGTTAATGGCTTAAAACAATATGAATCCTATTTGCTTATGGTGGTGTGGGTCAGAATTCAGGCAAGACTCAGGTGAGCAGTTCTGTTCCATGTAGTATGAGCTGGAGATAGCCACCTGGCTGTATTTAATTGGTGTGCTGGGGTGGAAGGTCTAGGACAGCCTTGTTTACAAGTCTCAGTGTCAGTGCTCTCTCCATGCCTTCTCTGTCTTCCACATGCTTCTCTCCACGTGGCTGGCTTAGGCTCCCTCAGCATGGTGGTCTCAGGATACTGATTTATTACTTGGCAGCTTGGATCCAAACCCCATTGTGTGAGTTCTCCTCAAGACACTGTTTGCATCATGCTTTCTGTTCTATTAGCCAAAGTTAGTCACATGGCCAAGCTCACAGTCAGTATGGCAGGGGAATATTGAAAGACACTTTCACAATGGGGTTGGAGAGATAGGAATCAATAATGTTTCCAGTATTGTTCATGCATCTAGAAGGATGGTGTTACCGTTAGTGGGGAAAAAAAGAAAAATTACATGAGAAACAAGTTTTGGGGCAAAGATCAAGAGTTTTTGTACACGTTTAGTATGAGTTATCTACCACACATCCAAATGGATATAGACGTTTGACATTTAAGGGAGAGATCTGGGCTCTCTTAAAAGTTTTGAATCAGCCGGGCACGGTGGCTCACGCCTGTAATCCCAGCACTTTGGGAGGCCGAGGCGGGCGGATTACCCGAGGTCAGGAGTTTGAGACCAGTCTGACCAATATGGTGAAATCCTATCTCTACTAAAAATACAAAAATTAGCGAGGTGCGGTGGGGGATGCCTGTAGTCCCAGCTATTCGGGTGGTTGAGACAGGAGAATTGCTTGAACCTGGGAGGCGGCAGTTGCAGTGAGCCGAGATCATGCCACTGCACTCCACTGCACTCCAGCCTGGGCGACAGAGTGAGACTCCGTCTCAAAAAAAAAAAAAAGGTTGTGAATCATCAGCAAGTATCTGGTATTTAAAACTGTAAGATCACCAAGTGCATGAGTGTGGATAGAGAAGAGGAACAAGGACTCACCCATCCCTGAGCACTCCCAAGTGAAGAGATAGGAGAGAAAGGTAGTAGCTGGTGAGATAGGGGAGAAAACAAGAGAGCATTAGTGTCTTGGAAGCCAAAGGGGAGATGTGGATCCAGCATGGAGTGATCAAATTTGTAATAGATTTCTGATAGTCCAAGTAAATTAGGCCTTGCAGTTAATTTGATTTTGTGGAGATGAATGATGACCTTTTCATGTACAGTTTAGTAGACTAGTGGGGTGTGGCGGGAGGGGCAGGAAGTCATGACTAGAGTGGGTTGAGAAGAGCAAGAAGTAGTGCCTGACATCTGGGAAGTAATCTAACACAGGTAAGCCTCAATGCTATTACAGATTGATATGATGCTTTCAGCAAACTATGCTTTTCTTCTGTTTTTCACATAACACACACTTCAGACAAGTTGGTCACTGTGCAACTCAAAACACCAAACATCCCTCTTGCTAAAGGAGTGACTGTTACTTTGTTTCACCTTTATCCCTCCTTTAGTCTGCCATCCTTATAGATTTCAGATCCTAGAATTGCCCTGGTTTTCTGAGAGCACAGAATTCAGAACAAGCCCCTACTTACTTAGACCCTCCCCCAAATTACCCAACAAAAGCCAAGATCCTATAATCACCATCTTACTGAATCACCCCACACTTCTCCCTTGTTGCCATGAGTAATAAACTAAACGTATTTGACAACAGGTGTGGGGGTTTTCTGTTTTATTTTATTTTATTTTATTTTTTGGTCTATGGCTGAAGGGCATAGTCAGGGTTAAGAGGTGGGAGGGAGGGGAAACCTGAGCTTAGGCAAAAGGGGATGGGCTTTTGCTACAAAGGGGAACAGAGAAATAGAATGGCAGCCTGTGAGGAAAATAGGTCGAAGTTTTTAAGATAAATAACAGCTTGTTTGTGTGTTGAACGGAAAAATCAAGAAAGGAGAAAAATTGATCCTTTAGTGGCGAGCTGGGGGATGACACGTGGAGGGTACAGGATCCAGTGCTTTAGGTAGGATTGGCTTCAGGTATGAAGGAGCATAAACCGTTCACCTACGTGTTCTGGTGGGTGAGATCCTGGAATGTGTCTGGCTGTGGTGGTTCGAGTGGGCAAGGACGTTCTGATGACTTCACAGTTCTCAGTGCAAAGGGGAGAAGGCGGAAACCTTTCCTCCCTCACATCCAATTGCCTATCCAAATTTTCACATCTCAGTTGTTTTGTACGTCTTCAAAGAGCCTTTACTAGAATCTTAATTTCCTAGTATCCATTCCCAAGAAGAATGGAAGAAAACTTGATGTATGCACTGGTGGTATAAATCTCACTACAAAAAGAACTATTTTTCACTATATATTTCTTCAGGGATAGACTCCATATTGAGTGGAGGAAAAAGAAGGACACAGAGAGAAACAGAGAAGGATAAATTGGTTCTTTTTCTTCGGAGTCCTCAGGTGCCTCCAAATGTTTTTACATCCGGTCTCTTAAATTTTAGAAAAGCGGCCAAAATGTGGCGCTAATAAGTTTGTTAAGATAACAATTAAAACTGCCCTCTACCACCAACTATGCAAGTATGCATAGTAACACAAAAAACTAGTCTTCAACAGTGGGCATTTGGTTTCCTGTGTGTTTTAAAGAGAACACGGGGAGGGGACATGTGATTTCAATTGCACAGGCACGGTTTGTGACCTGTTTCGTTTACAAAAGGAGAACTTTTTACTGGAGAATCTGGTTAATACTGAAAGTGTTT